TGTGTGTGTGTGTGTGTGGACAAACTTAAAAGTGTGTGTGAGAATGCTTTGAGGTCAAATGTAAAATTGTCAATGGAAAAAAAAAAAAGTTTTTGCAGACTGTTCACATGTTTGGTATGTTAATTTATATTTCCTTTTTTATTTAGGGCTTGTCCTGAGGTTCTCACGTGGGGAAAAGTTGTTGTCCACAAAAAGGTTTTCAAGCTGTTTTAAGAAGAATGAATTCGAGATGAAATCGAGGCCACGACACACAAACACACAGCTGTAAAACTTTTTCTCATTTCATCCAGTTGGTTAAGGGAATTTTAAAGGGGACAAAAGGTTTATTTAGCTAAAGATTAGAAAATATATATGAATGAAATTCTATGTTTGCATACTTTCTATGCTATTTTCATATGGGGTTCACACTAATGATGAAAAACGGAAAGGAATCTCAAGTGCTTTTTACTACAGTGTAACTTATTTGTTTCGATTTGATTTTTACCACCTGTGTTTTTAGTAATGATTTATGAAGCACTGTATATTAAAGTTTTAAAATATTCATGAAGCTTTTGAGTGTGCCATTTTTCCCCATCCCTTTCCATTATCTCATCTGTCCTCATATTTACAAAGAAAAAACCCAAAAGTGATGGTGGCGTTGATGGAACCATATCAGAAAAGAAGCGGCACAAGGGGGCAGCATTGTCCCAGCTGTTCATGCATCCGAGTACCAAGGAAGAGCAGAGGAGGGCGTTGTTGTAACACCATCTGAGAGCCGAGCTGTGCTGAGTTGCATAAGTGTCTGATGGCTTCCTAATCAGGTTGTGTTTGTTTGGTGTAAACTACACCTCCTTCTGGTTATCCTATACTGATTTTAAAGGTGTAGTCAAATTTATTTATGTAGTGCAAAATCACAAAATGTCCTCAGAGTCATGCAGGGAGTTCACAAAGCTGATTGGGGGTCACAATTATGTTTCCATGCATCTTGAGGGAGTGTGTCTTCATTCCTTTCAGTGATTTGATTCATGAATGTCTTCTGGATAGGTTTCACTCTTAAAGTGGCTATGCAACAGTTTCATTACATTTTATTCTCTTTGATAACAAAGCACATTAATAAACGTTTCTGTTCATGTGCCAGCCTGCTCATGCTGTGTTTACCATGTATGTTGTGGCCCAGTATCCTCATGCAAAGCATTACAGCTGACTGGGCAAGAGTTTAACTTAAAATACACCCACTGATCGGCCTTAATCATAATATGAAGCAGCAGGAGAGGAAAGTATCCCATCTGTCCTGGTTGAGACAAAGCACATTAGTTAATTGTACATTGTATTGAAGTTTTTGTTTCACATGTTGAGTTTTGCCTGAAATAATGCTGACATTTAAACACAAACCTTTTATTTTTTTAATGTATTGTGTTGTTGATTAATATTGAAACAATATTCTTATTAATATACACATCTATGCACACTTCCCTCCCCACAGAAAGGGAAATATATCAATTTGAAGCTGCCAACATGCAAAGATTCCCAGTGCACCTTTAAAATATGGATCTGATTTTTCCACGGCAGTACTATAAAGAGTTTCTATTCATACCTTAGAGCACAAAAAAAAAAAAGTGTGGAAAATGTAAAATAACTGCCATGACAGTGTAGGATGGTTCGGAGATAACTGTAGGACCTGACTGTGGAGATAACATGATGAGGGGAACTGGCAACTCCCACTAGCACCAGGGCTAGCAGCAGGGCAATCTGGGAAAGGCAAACAAGAACAGCATGCGGCTCAGTGTGTCCTCCCGTACTCTTCTTGCCTGTTCCAACCCGTGGGAGGAGGAGATGGGAGGGAGGAGGTGGGAGGAGGAGGAAGACAAATGGGAGGGATGGAAGTCATGGAAGGGAGGAGAGGAATCCAAGGAGTGCTTGAACACAACTTTATTTGACTTTTATCTTACAGCTGGAGAAAATTAGAGATCACAGCAAAGGTCTTAGTGGATTTCAATGGGAAACACTGAATCGCAAAAACTGCACGAAAAGCTCATTCGCCTCCATCTCTCTTGTTGTCATTTGAGTTTGAAAAATAGCACTCATCTTTTACATTTAAAACCACACTTCTGAGAGAAATTCCTCCAGCATAATGATAACTTACATTTGCGCTGGTATGGCAGAGCATCCATCACAACGGATGCAAAGAGAGAGACCACAGGTTATTTATCACAGTCAAACTGTCTTCAGATCCCTCGAGGCTTCAGACGGCATGTTGAGAGAAAAAACCCTGCAGTGTACGTGACCAGATGCTCTGCCTGTGTGTGTGAGAGCAAGAGTGTGTGTAGGAGTTAGACAGAGGAAATGAAATGTGGGGGATTTCTTTCATGCCCTCGCTCTCTTTTACACATGCAAGGACACTCATCACCTCCTTCATTGTCCATCAACCTCAATATGATACTGTATATGGTTGGCTGTCAGAGCTGAGCTGAGACAGGAGGTGTGATGTGAAGACTCTCAGCCTGAGGCCAAAATCCAGCCACAAGGGAGTTTAGCCTAGTGTACAATACCTCTGACGGTTTCCCAGACCCCAAACTGATGTCTTTGTTTTGTTCAGCTAACAGTCAAACAACTAAAAAGGTATTTTCAGAAATTTGGAAGCTAAAATGCTTTGAGCTGCACTACTACAAAAACCTGGAAGCTGAAATGTAACAGCTCAATCCTCGACTGCATCCCAGACATTTGGCTCTCTCCTCTTTGCCTCACCGTGTGCAGTCTCAGAACAGGAACTACAGCTCAGTGTCACATCATCAGATTCAGCCTGTTGAGGTGTAATAGATGTGAAAGGGTCTGTCTGTCTGGAGCCGGGCTGGGGAAGCAGTAAGATAGAGGTAAGATACCTTAGCACGGTCAGCAATACAACCCCACCTCCATTATTTTAAAGGATGGCAATTACTAGATAAAGCATTCCTCGTCAGATATACAGTATATACTTATAATAAACTTTATTTATATAGCACCTTTCAAAAAACGGGTTTATAAAGGGCTTTTACAGGGTAAAAACAACACAAACAACAGAACACTAGGAACCATAGCAGCATGAGTAACAATATACAGAATAAAACACTGTAAAACACAGCAATAAATAAATAACAACAATAAAAATAAAACCTTTGGAAGGATGTTCCACAGTTTTGGGGCTCTAATGGCAAAAAGCTCTGTCACCTTTTTAAATCTTGTTTTGGGAACCACCAGGAGAGCTGCATTTGAGGACCTCAGGGCCCGTGGAGGCACATGGGGGATTAAAAGCTCCAGGACTTCGTGCCTTAAAAGAGATAATTAAAATCTACTTTAAAACTAACTAACAGGCAGCCAGTGCAGAGATAAAAGGATCGATGTAAAGTGTTCTCGCTTTCTGGTACCTGCACAGCATAGAAAGCAGAAACACATCAGTAAACATGGGCCTTTATTCATGCACATAATAGACAAAAAATTGAGCCGTCATCAGCGTTTGTTAACTAACAGCCTATAAGCACCCAGATGCCTCAGTTATTGGTTTGTATTTACAGGCTGTTGTATGTGTTTTTTCACTTATATGATTGTATAAACAGTGCAACCTGGTTCTTGAGTCCTCAACCTTACCAGTTACTGAAAGACAGGCATGCTATTTGATCAACACATGTCAAAAGAACATGTTTTTATTGTCTATTGTGCACAGCTCTCCTTTTCAGCTCCAGTGGCCCATGGTCTGCGTGGTGTGTATTCAGGGATATTCTGCAGGGAGTAAAGGTTCAGGCAGACAGGCTTATGGCCTGGATCAATGCACCGTGGGCATGGCAACTGATTGAGCTGAATGCTAACATGGTCACAGTAATAAAATCATATCAGTTTCTTGTTACATTTCTGTTGATCTACCAATCATTTCAGCACCGGTTCCAACTCAAATAGTGTAATTACACGTTAGATATGGGGAGAGTGCAAAGTGTTCACAACAGCCTAAACTAATGTTGGTGTCCAAGGTTTAATTGCACTATAATAGGGAGGCTCTTGTTACTGAGGCTGCTGGAAGCCTAATTGGAGGAGATGAGTCTTTGCCAGACTCTTACCCTTTGGTTTAAACAGGGGAAAACCATGATTGATGCACCGAGATGTTTTTCAGAGATTGAGACCTAGGCTGTGAGGCCTGGCCTCCTCATTATCTACTCCAGCACAGAGGCTTCCTCCTGGGCTTGGAGTTGCTGATGAATCCCCTCTCTGTGTGTTCAGGGGGAGCTGGCTGCCATACAAATTCTTGTGGCAGCAGCTCGTCTTTTCTGCACACACACAGGATCCTTATTAGCAATTACAACGCCAGAGGGCCTATTTATACACATCTGCTGAGACGGGGCGCAGCAGTGGAAACAAATGCATCCAACAGCACTAATCAACTGCAGCCCGAGTCCTGGTAAACGAGAAGGAAGGGCGGAAGATAGAAGGAGTAATTTAAGGAGGGAAGGAGAGAAAGGGGACAACAGGGAGGCAGGAATACAAAGGAGGTGGAAGGGAAATGGAGGAATTAGGTAGAATGGGATCAAGGGAAGGAATCAAGGAGTGAATGGGGATATGGGAGCGAGTATCTGAGACAGCCATGCATATTCAATTACAGAAATGAGGACCAGATTCTGCTTGGTAACCGCAACGAGTCTCATCCCTCCAACGCCTGACTACGCTGCTCACAAATAAAAGTCTCTGCTGGAGCCTCTGGATTGGTATGTTCAGCCAGACTCCAAACAGGACGCTGGGGGATGCTTCACGGGGCTGAAGATGCTCCCTGAGTTAGCATTTCTCAGCACGAGAGGCTGTGCTGGACATGTTTCTGAATTTTCACACGCTGAATTTTATTCGGGCCTGGGCGGGGGGCCAGTAATGATGATAGGAGGACGGTGAAATGTGAACATGAAGAATTCTGTTTCCGATACTAACTGAATGTTTTGTGAAATGAAATTAACACTGATACAGAGTTTGTTAGATAACTGGTGTCCTGATGAGAAGATGGATAACACGCTCATGTTTGTACGGTAAATATAGAGCTACTGTCAGCAGCAGGTTAGCTTAGCTTAGCTTAGAAATGTTGGCAAGAAAGCAAATATTACCTTTAAAACAGTTGTCAGCCTCCCTTTTTACGTGTTTGTGTCACAGATTTGAGTCATAAGAAGTTTAACCAAAGCAAAAGTTTGGTTTAAAATAATTTTTAAAGTAAAATATTATGTATATTATGTATTTTCTATATTAACATTAACATTTTAACATTTTTTGGTTCTCTCTTATCCCGTTAATCATCTTGCAACCCTTTTAAGGGGCCCTGAACCTCAGATTGGGAACCCATGGTTTAGGGAGGATTGGAAGTTGAATGTTACTGCCATCAAAGTGAAACTCCACAGACATTTGTATTAACAGTTAGAAATAGTAGTAAGTTTAAAAGAAAAGTATATGGTGGATTTCCTGTTCATATGTTTCTTTATATACTCTGAAATCACATTCACAGATTCGGGAGTGGAAACTCTGAGCGGACCAAATGTGCACATAGTGTCTTAAAATATAATTTTAATATCTTAAAAAGTCTAGGATCAATATTGTAGTAAAGACAGATGTCCCAGATAATAATAGCATGTTGGCAGAGGTATATGTGTGTGTGTGTGTGTGTGTGTGTGTGTGTGTTCATATTAAAACTATACTGGCATGGTCTGACTATAAGACTGTGTTTGGTTTCACACATCTGATAGAGTTTAAGGTTCTTCGTGCTCAGGGATATGAAGTATTCTTCGGCATGTTGTGTTCTCTCACTTAATGTATGTTATAAAAGGAAGGAGGAAGCAGGAAGTGGTAATGCATGCAGTGGTAATCTTCCTGAGTGAAAAGGGCCTAGATCCTCTTTTACTATTTGAGGAGTGTAATGCACATAAATGAATTTATAACCAACATTAAAAACAAGAAATAACACATTGCTCCTTCGTTTTTTTGTCCTCATAATACATTAATGAAAATGTTTAATTCCTGTTTTATTGAATCAGGATGTTTTCTTCTGTTAGCTGCTACGGGTTACTTACCCTTAAAAAGAGGAACAGACTACAGGGAACAGTAAAAGTGTGCAGGCACAACCTTAAGTGACCTTCCACACCTGTTCAAGGTCCTGGCTGTCTACTGCCCTTGGCCTATGTATTGTATTTAAGGTGTATTGGTTGTTGCTTATTGTTTGTTGTCTGAGTTTATTATCCTACGGGGATAATAAAACTGTCCTTGACCTTGATCTCTTCTTTTTCTGATGTGCAGATTATAATTTCCAGATTTCAACACCAACATGAAGAGAGAAAGACACAATCCCAGTGTGTGTGCAACCTATGTGTGTTGCTTCTAGCGGATTAACCTCAGTGTCCCTGGTGCAGTTTAGTAGAGAGAGATCTGTGTATCAGTGAGCATTGCTCTCTAATACTATAGTGTAGTGTATTTTTTATTTTAATACGACCACTAGGAGTCGCCAAAGTTCAAAAGTTTTAAATCATATCAAAGGGAGCTTTAAAAAGAAGGTCAAATTGTTGTTAATTGTCAATTTTATTGCATTGTATTTTTTTATTCAATGGTGGAGGACTCTGATAATGTACTTAAGTTAAAGTAATACCACAGTGTAGAAATACTCTAGTAAAACTCTTTAGTATTAGCAACAAATATATTATATATTCTACTATAGTCATAAGTACTCATTATACAGAAGGGCTGATTTAAGAATAATGTATATTATACAATTGGATTATAATTAATGATAGATTAAATTAATTTCAGTTACTTTTTATACTTCATGGTAGCTTAATCTATAAGAAGTTTTTGTACAAAGTATTATATTAATAATCTAAATCTGCAAAGTGATCAGAAACTAAACTTATCACATAAATCTAATGGAGTAAAAAGTATAATAGTTCCCTCTGAAATGTATGAGAGTATCAAGTAGGCTCATTTAAAATGGAATTACGCAATTTAAGTACAAGTACAGCGACAGAGTAAATGTACTTAGTTGCTTTCAACCCTGATTTAATTTATTTATTTTTTGTTCTTTTACAGTAAAAAATAGACAATTATTTACCTAATGCCCCCTAACCTCTTTACATAAAGTACCACAACAAGAATAAATCTTTGAATCAATTGTATCTTCTCACATTCATAGATGTGCATTATTTTTCTCTGCCCTCTACTTAAAGTAATCTAAGATGATTTGAGGAGTCACAGCCACCCTAGTTCTGCATGTATGGATGAGTTATGATAGCCGTGAGACATTTCCACACTTATTTTCCAGCCCTTAATAGGTTTACGAGT